ACGCCGCAGTTGGTGACGGTCACGGGAAAAGCAGCCGCAGTCCCAAGCAAGAAGGCCATGGGAATCATGGGGCGCAGCATGATTCCAAGTCTTCGAGGGAGGCGGAGGAATGCCAAGCTGACGACCGACGATGCGCTTGAGCCATGCAAAAGGAGCAGGGGATGTTGCGACGGGCCCCCCCTTTGGTCTCTAATTCTGCACAAAACCATTGAACACAAAGTCGACTCTGGGTCAGCTGACTCCCACGACGGGGACTTGTAAGGCTTAGGCCGAGCACGGCTGCGTCTACCAATGGTATGATAACCGTGGTTCTACCCGTCTCATAGTTTGGCAAATACTTCCAAATTACTATTTTGCCACTTCACCTGGACCTGACAATTGCGGATCAATGCGAGAGGCATCTGGGAAGTTGTCGCGGTCAATCTTGAGCCGGTGGACATCCTTGGCACATTCCCACAAACAGCGGCTGGAACGATGACATGTTTGCGTGAAGTTCGACCGGTTGCTACATCCCTGCATCAGAAACTTGCATGAGTTCACCGCCCGGAGGGATGTCTCGGATATTTCCGTATTCCGTACATCGCTTTGATCGAACCATGAGGTGAGCAGGGCACTAGGAAAAAGGACCCCCTTTTTAACCTTCGCAGGCCCAGGCCCAGGCCGCGGGGCGAGCCGGGAAAGCCCGTGACTGTATGCACTCACACTGGCACTCACAGGGCTGCGACGGCAAACCCCGTCTTGGGTCGTCCTGTGGGCAGGTTTGTATCAGCCCAAGGCTCCCAGTGGCTGTCTCCAGAAAACCTTAGCATCAGAAGGAAACGACCCCAAGAAGGATCCCAAACTGAGAGTGCGAAGTCGACAGTATCGAGTCGATCAGACGATGAGTACTCGCTTGCTGGCCATCGCAACTTGTATTTCAGAGGGTCTCGTTCTCCGAGGTCTGTGGCAATTTTCAACCAGTCAGAGGTTGGCCTAGAATGCTGCCACTATCTGCGGGCACCCATTGGAAAGAGATTTCCACTTCTGGCCGCAATCCAAAGAACCATCAATGCGACTGTTTGTTGCGCATCTGCTGAGGCAGCGGCACCGTCGCGAGCTCAGCATTCTCTGTCTGGAAGCCGTTGACAAATCGATCTATGACGGGCCTTCCACAATGTGTGCCAGGTGCTCGAGCAGTGCAAGCATGCAGCAGCTCGTCCCCGTTGTGCACAGGAGAACAAAGCCGATGTGCTCACAGAGGCAAGCTCTTGAATGGCTTCGGGCTCCAAAAGCTGCAACACGCTGAGACTGTCGACTCGGCAAGCTGGCCTGAGATGCCTTAGCTCTGGGGCAACAATCGGATCTGTCAAGCAGACTCTATGCTTGGAATTTTTAGTGGCCACACACCACACCCGCAGCGTTCGGAGCCGGGGTGCTCGTCCATGATGTCCTTCAAGTCCTGAGAACTTGTTAACCGCGAACGGCCCTGCCAACGGGTATGTGTGTGTGTGTATGTATGTATGTATGTATGTATGTATGTATGTATGTATGTATGTATGTATGTATGTGTGTGTGCATGTGTATGTATGCATATATACATATAATATAAACAAGCTTCCAAGCTACTAAATCCCATGCCAAAACTAAGTTCGATCTCGGAGGGAGTCTGCAGGAGCTTAGGCTTCTCGTGGCTACCGGGGCAAGAACTGACGGACAAGGCTGCCAACCCTCGACCCAGAATGAAAAAATCAAACCAGAAGGAATATTGGGGCGACCCTCGCTAATGTTAGCAAAGAGGCGGCTTCTTCGATCTTCGCCTGCCTCGGAGCACGTGCCACGTGGATGTCATCCGCTCACCCCTCTAGCGCACAATGAAGCTTCCCCAGATTTTCCACTGATCAACGAACGAAGAAAGATGCCCATGAAGAAACGGACGTTTCGGTGACTGGCTGAATACCCAAGGTCTTCGATGACATGGTCAGCACAGTGCACACCGGCGCAGGGCGAAGGACGTTGGGAGCCTGTAACTTCAAGTCTCTCTTCGACATGCCTCATCCCACCCCTCCTTTCTGTAGGCCCTTTCTTCATGACCGAAGGCCTTTGTCACCAGCACTCCTCCTGCCACTAAGGCAGGCGCGCTCCGGGCATCGCCGGAAAGATCTCCAGCGCCGCCTGGCACAAAATAATATAATATACTATAATATACTATAATATAGTATAATATAGTATAATATAGTATATTGTAATATAGTATAATATAATATAAAGCTTCCCACTTCGGGGGGTTTTTGGATGCTTGCTTCTGGCTTTCACAGAAGAATTGGAGATTTCCGAGGCACTCAGGACAGGCCCAGTTCAGGCGAAGATGAACACCTCTTCGGACAAGGATTCTTCCGGTTTAGGCCCGGTTCAAAGACCGGCTGATCTCCAGCTTGTCTGAGCAGCACGTCTCATCTATTATGTTTGCCTGGGGGACCTCAACTACAAAATGGTCAGGGTTTCCAGAGGTAGGACGACTTGCCTCCATCATATCCGAGCTTAGAGCATAGCACGCCTCCCAACATTCTCGTGCTTTCTGCTTCTCATCCAGCTCGTAGTAGCCTCCGAACCCATGGAGAACTAAACTGACAGCTAAGCGGTGTTGAAAAACCCTCAGAAAGATATGGCGCCGACTGCTCGGAATCAAGCTGCATGTTCAGTTCTTGTGGCTATTTCTGTCATGCTCCCATGGATATCATCATGACATGAGCTTACCTTAGGAGCCGATGGAAGCAATTAGTACAGCGGATGCTACACATGTGAAGCAATACCGGTCGAACATAACCTTAAAAGCCTGCGTATATAGCTCGTAGGGGCAGCCTAATCTCAACTATGGCCCCAAGCTTAGCTCTTCACTTCAGTCTATCCTGAGTTCGAGAAGTTTTTCGGCTTGGCATGTAACATCGATTCATGAAGCGACTCAGGGATTCACACATGTGCTTCAACCGTTGCCCTAAACTCCCTCAGAACTGCAGATTTTAAAGCCGACTACTCGTAATTCCAAAAACCGAAACCCCAAAAGCCACAAGCCCAAGAAACTATGCAAGTAGCAACTCGAAACCCCAAATTTCCCCGAGCCCTCTTGAATCGCCATCCTTTTGATCGGGATTAGGCTCGAATCGTTTGTGACCCCCAAACCGCTAAGCACCGTGCAACTGCCCATGCCCGTCAAGCACCTGACCGGTGCCAACCGCATGCGCAGCGAATGAGGAACCGCAAGAGATCTCGATTTACGCCCGAAATTCTGCAACGCGGTCTGGAGAGACAGGTTCCTACTAGATAGACAACACCAGTTACCGGCATGTCATATACTGCTGGAGATGCTGGAGAGTGTAATACAGAAAGAGAGAGAGACAGAGAGAGAGAGAGAGAGAGAGAGACAAAGGGATAGGGCACAAGCAGCCGCAAGCATGCTTGCACAATCGTCAGTGCACGAAACCAACTCAGGACAGCAACGACAGCAACAACTACGACGACGACGAGGAGACGACGACCACCATCACCACCACCAACAGCAACCACAACAACAACAACAACTCCTCCTCCTCCTCCTCCTCGTCCTCCTCCTCCTCCTCCTCCTCCTCCCCCCTCTGCTGCAGCTGCTACTGCTACCAGCCATGTCCAGCAGCTGCCAACCCGACATTAGGCATAACATGCCCCACAACACCGGTCGCACTGCTCAACATGCCTGAGATCTGATAACCTGAACCAGCAGCTCTATGACGCAGAAAACTGCTACCGTCCCAGCGCACCAGTAGTGCCGCGGCTGAAGTTTGAGAGCCTGCGGGCGGCTGCGCACACCCAGCGTGACAGGATGGCATTCGGCTTTCAATTCGAGCACGCAGACCTTTTCGGCCTCACGTCCTCGCAACAACTGCATGTGACGTCACTACAGACGGCCGGAAATGTGTGTTAGTCCCTGCCTCTTTCCCTGGGAAGGCAAAACCCAGCCTGCCGGCAATCCTCCACAGCCTTCTCGAACTCCTTCTTTGCCAGATGTTGCATTTAGGATCATTCAGGCCATCTGCCCGAAGCCAGCTGCGCAAAACAGCATCGAGGCAGAACGAGGCGGCGACTCTTCGACACTCTACGCATGGTTCTTGCTTGAGGACAAAGCGGCTTCCTCAACAGTTGCTTCGAACTTGCCATCACCTCGCAAACAACTCAACCAGCTCGCCAAGACCTCAAAGAAGACTTGGCGGCTCCTGTTTCGCATAGTGAGCAATGGAGAGCTTGTGCCAGCCCTCCGCGAAGTTGGGCGCCATCTCCGTCACCTCGGCGACTCAGGAGCCTTCAACATAGCTAATATAGCATTGTAAATATAATATGAGTGTATATGTATATGTCAATGTGTGTGTGTAATATATATATATGTGATGATGATGGTGATGATGATGATGATGACATCATGGAACTTAACAGAACGGAGGACAGCATAATATGCTAGATAAGACTTGACTTTGAGAGAATACAATAGAAATTGAATAGAATAGATTGGCAGCATCCCTTGCTTTGTCATTGCAGACGACCGCTCGAAGTCCTAGAACTCCATGAGATCGACAGGGCACGCGCGTGAAGCTTTCTACGGCCTCATCCGCCTGGCAGAAGTTGCGACTGCATCTGCATGCTGCCACCGGTTTTATCACGTGTGCCAGAAGCCCATGCAGACTTTGCAAGCCCCCTAGCACCGAACAAAGCTGAACCAAGCCATGCACCTCGTGCCCAGCCTAGTTCGTCCTGTTAACACCTTTCCTTTCTTGAAGGCTACCCGCATATGTGAACGGTCATGCTTGGCCAACGGGCTTACTGTGGAGCAGAGCATCCCCACCAAAAAAAACACTCTGCAAGGCAGCTCGACCCCTGATGCCTTGTCGCAGAACGGATGCACAGCTCCGGTCAATTGCCCTGCAGCCTTCTGGTCGTCCAGCAGCTCAATTCCTCGAGCCATCTCTGCGTTCACCTGAACAGGTTCTACACTCGGGCACTGCTTGTCAGCATCGAGAACTCGGCTCGCACAGTCTCAGAGGTGGAGTTACGAATCGATCTCTTATCTACAGTGAATCTACAGGTGGTTCGTGTAAAGGGTCACCAAGTAGTTGCAGTTGGTGAAGCCAGGCATGTGCTGCTGTTAAGCACCTGCTCTTAACTCGATGGTTTCACATGGGAACGTGCAGGTGCTATTTCTGTACTGGCGGGGTCTTGCCAAGTTAAGTTGCTTGAACTCTTGAGGCGGGACCTTGACTTCGACTTTTTTGACGCTGCAAACCTGGAGACGCCTCCCAAGCCCCAACACCTCCGGATCGCAAGTGGCCACAGTGACGGCGTCCCACTTCCCCTTCCCTAAAGACTCCAATATCCCTTAATGAAGGAATATTCCGTAAATTATAGTAGGATCTTTAATAGGATTTGCGGTATATTCCTTAATTAAGGAATATTGGAGTCTCTAGGTCCCCCAGTTTTCCAGAGGTGGCCTTGGCATCTCCGGAGTCCTCCCAGCAAGCGCAAAGGGCATCCTCTGCGCTGCTGTGGAGATCTCCTGTCAAGATGACCCCATGGGTTTAGGGGTTTAGGGGTTTAGGGGTTTCGAGTTTAGGATATCAAAGATCTCTTGCAAGCACAGCTCGTGTCCCAGGGAACTTCAAGTCGGGACTTCTGGACCTGCCAGTACCTCCGGCAAGACCCTGAGCGGATGCTCCGGCGTAGTCCCAAGTGCGCAGGGTCCCCATCGAATACTACCCAGTTACTAACCCCCGAGCCTGCTCCCGTAGCTCCCCTGACCTAACAGGCGTAGCCTTCCGTTTGCTTGGCGGTGGCCAAAAGCACGGAGTACAGGGCGTCTTCCTCGGCTTCGGCTGGACGGGACCCTCGCAGACCCCGCTGCAGACAGTTGCAAAGCCTCAGGCCGAAAGGAAAAGCGCCCAATCCCCCAACATCGGTTAACATTCCTTTATGCCAGAGCTCTGCTTGGGGTACAGCGACGGGAGGCGTGGCAAGCCTGGCTGGCAGCTGCGAAGCATTCGGGGATTCTTGGATAGTGCCCGCCCCAGTTCCCAGGAATCAGATGGGGGCCCTATCTACCAATCACAAACCCGGGTGTCTAGTTCGGACCCCGTCGCCGCGGTTCTACTTCAGCTCTCAAGGCATCACATTTTTACCGCCTTCATCATGGCCTTCATCGCATCCCTGCTTGGAACAGCCATGGTTGTCGCATCCCAGAATGGCGCGATGCCCTGTCTATCTCGCAGTTCGTACGAATTCTGGACCGCACATCCGAAACAGCACTGCGCCAAACAGCTGCGTGCAGACATTTGCTAGCCAGACCAGCAGGATCGGGCTTTTGTAACCGCTCACCCACACTCCCTAAACATATCGGAACCTGGACCTAGAACCAAGCCAATCCAACTGAGGTGCCATGCATCCTGCACTCTACGGCTCCAGGTGAGACGGGCTCAATTTCAGAGGGCCTAGACCCTACGCTAAGCCACTAAGCCTTGAAGCCGACTCCGCTTTTTTGGCTGTGAAAACCCACAGTAGCTCCTTGTTAAACCCTAAACCCTAAACCCGTTCCCGATGCTTCTTCGAGCCTCTGCAGAGTTCCTATGGCCTCCAGGCGAGACCAGCCTGAGTTGGACTTCCACAAATCCTAGGGTTTTTCCCTCTCGCATGGCAAATCCTAGGGTTTAGGGTTTATGCCAGCTAGGTGCGGGTCGGCGTGAAACCAGTAGGAACAGCCTTTGCCTAGGACTATAATACAGGCGAAGCAGAGTAAAGTATGAAACGTCAGAACACGGTTCAGGCAAAGGTGCAGGTCAAGTATATCAGTATATCCCCAGGGGAGACAGCAGCTCAAACAGCTTACAACCACCCCCTAGATCCCTCAGGTCCCAGCGGAGGGTGCAGGCACCCATTGGTGCCATAAGTGTGTCTCCAGGTTTTATTCTTATTCTACCGGTATTTACGCACTCAGCACTGGTGGGTTTAGGGTTTTTTTGCCTCCCACCTTGCTAGGACGAGCCCGCATTGCAGGGTACATTAAGGGTTTAGGGTTTAGGATGCTCAACTTGCGCATCCTAGGCGAAGCTATGTTCTCCAAAAGCGCGACATCAACTTCCATGGTTCGTAAGGCTCGAAGCACTCTGAACTACCAGCCAGAACATGAGGACCGGGAAATCCAACATAATCGATTCATAATCGAACGCCTACGTGAGCCTTTTGCTGGAACAAAACCATCGAAACTTTGTTGCCTGAAACTGAAATCCACCAATCCCGAAGAAGCCTGAACGGCCTAGGACGAATACCAAGAACCCCATGCTTGCTGCAACCTGAACTGGTACATGATCGACCCTACGACCCAGGACAGAAACAGGCAGAATGCAAGGCCCTAACCCGAAGCTATGAAGCGCTGTGGAGCTGCAGCCAACCCACGGAACCCAAAGCCACCACCACATGAAACCCGAAACATCCCGCACGCCCTAACCGCCAGTCTGCAGTTTGCAAGCCAAAATCCATCTAAGCGCAGCTGGGCTTCTTTCGCGCGTAGGGTTCAGCGCTACGGCTTTAGCCCAGCGCACTGTGCGTCGCCGGCCTTTGCCCGAAGTCTCCTACGTCGGTTCCGGCTTTCGCAGACCTCCAGACGCGCTTCCTACCCCAAACGAAAACAGTTTCACGGTGCAGGGCACCGAGATCGACTCGATGCCCCCCATGATTCGTAATAAAACCAAAGCTCTCCAATCAGCCTACAGACTGCCACAGCAGATGCTCAGGTGCAAACACTTATATCCGGGCCAACCAACGCAGCATAAGCCAAGGCACTCATCATCGAAGACGAGGCCTGCCTGGCAGGGGCAGAAACCCTCGGTCGTGGAACCGAAATTCTGCGGCTCCTTGGATCGAACCCCGATAGATTCTTGTAACCCTAGGACCAGCAAATGCATCCTGGGGGCACACTGGAAGACTCCGTAGCAGAGCCTGCCTGAGGGGTGTGGCACAACAGTGGACTCCACTAGATACCTTCCCTAAAGGGCAACAAGCAACCCAAGGGTAAGGGATATAAGGGCTTGAGGTTCCCATTGGAAGATCCAATTCTGGCGGTTCAACAGTGATTGGCTGAATCCAGGCATGCATGCGCAGTCGTACTCCACCACTAGATTATTTCCCAGGTCCCGATAAACTTGCACAAGAGCCCACCCCGCTACCCTTCATTGCATGTATACAAATGTTCATCTATGTGTACAGCATTTTGAAAATGTGTGTATGTGTGCGTGTATGTTCGCGGATATGTATGTACGTATATATGAAATTATATATGCATCAACGGAAGCATGTACGTGTGATTTACATATGTGTGTGCGCGCCTGTGTGTACGCACTTCGCAAAAACTTAGTGCGCACGAAGGGTTGGCTTTCTTTTGTGTTTGCAGTCAATGCGATTCAACCACACCGCCAACAGCTTGCAGGTACAGACGGGGTTGGCTAAACGTCTATTGATGCCACCGGCACTGGCTCATCCTCCAAAGTCCGTAACTGAGACCCTAGACTAAGATCCAGTATTCCCCCAAAAGCGCTGGCTTGGAGGACACCGGGAGACCCGAAAAGCCGATCCAACAGCCTTCCCAGCCACTGAACCCCGAAGGTTCTGTGATAGCCAAGGCCTCCGCTGCACCCAGAGCCGCTTCGACATCCGAGGCGGCGGCCCCGGACCTGGGCCGAGGTCGAAACGAAAAATAACCTATCCTACAACGTCCTACGATATACTAACTAATCTTCTGGTGCATGTGGATTCATTCGTATTTTCACGTCTGCGGTTGTCTTGGCTTCGAACTGCGAGCGCACACATGCAAATACCGTTCGTCTCCATGGATCCATGTATTGATGCGGTCTGTCCGCTGGGGAACTGGGCGATTCCGTACCAAGTGTAGGGATGAGGGTCCCAACATGCATGCCGGCGAAACAGATGACACTAGCTCAGCAATCACTCCAGCAGCAGCCCATTACCAAGCAAACCCTCGACAGTTTGTTTGCTTTCCCTCAGCCTAGGGCCCAAGCTGCATCAGGGCCTCCTTCACATCGTCAGGCATGATCCATGCCGAACGAAGGAGGCGGTAGTGGAGGTTCCTAGGCTCCACGCATCATGAGGTCGTGGCGTGCCCACGTTGGGCCCGTCCCGAAATATACCGCTGGGGCTGCTGATATAGTTGATGGTTTTGGTTATGCCGTGTCAGCTGACCATAAATTTGCATCGGAGTGCAGAAGGGTGCAGGAAGCCACCGGCTGTCTCTCTGCCTATCTGTCTATCTGCCTGTCTATCTACCATATTACCCACCTACCTCCCTATATGCCGCCATGCTCCGAATCATGTTTGTTACACGTGCATGGGAAATATTACACGTATGTGTTCCCAATGCCGAGTGCCCTTCTACACCTCCGGACATGTAAAAAAGAAAGGCTTCGAAGGAAAACAAGAGTCACTCCGAAGCGCAGCTCCTTTGTCTGCTTTGCTTTGTTCGCAGGGATGGCATGCACGGTTCCCGCAACAATGCTGTCCAGATCTGCAGAGAAGACCATGTTGTACACCCACTTCCTTCACTGCTTGGGACAAGCCTTAAACAGTAGACAAGAAGCACATGCGGCCCTGGATGTTAGTCATGGCTTTCATGATAAGTCAAGCGACTCGTCACCCTGCCAGGAGCTTGGCGACCAGTCAATGACTCCTCGAAAACAGCGGGTTCCTGGGTCGTAGACAACCTCTTCGAAGTACTTCTTCGCGGGGGGCTGGCTGCCGTCGTCCAGCTTCGGGAAGGTGTTGTTGTTTGCCCTCTCGTAGGAGATGTAGCACTCGCCCGGATGGTGAAAATGGTACGAGGCAAAGCCCAGACCTCCACCAGTTTGGACGTAGACCTGTCCTCGAGTGGGCGAACTGATCGAATAGCAACCCGTGCAACCTAACTGTAAAGACATGTGAATTTGGACGTTTCAGGCTGTTTAGCGATGCGGTCATCTGGTCATCTGACCATGGGACACTCCCGGCGTGGACACATAGAAAAACCATGTTCTCTCTCGCTTGCGAGATTCCCCAGATCGTCTCGAGTGCAGGATGTTCTCTGCCACCAGTGTGCATTCGCGAAAGGTCGCGGTCTGCAAACGTCTGCACCGTTGCAATGTACCTCCGTTCGGCGGAATTCGCTTGATTCGTTGCAGAGACCGCTGCAACAGCTTTCTCGCCTCATGCTAGGCGCCTCACGCCTACAAAGGTCTGCCTCGCACCCCCGCCAGACACGTTAGTAGGTGCTCTCCGGCGATGCCACTGGAATGGCCCAGAAGGGACTTGACATGCATGGGAGCAGAAGCGAAACAGCACGAATCGCCCATCCTGCGACGTAAACCCCGTAATCTGTTGGATGAATTTCGAGACGAGTGGCAGAGGGTCGCTCCCTTCCTTGACCACTTCGCTACGGATGGAGAGTATCCGAAAACCTGGGCTCTCTGCACAAGCCATGCGAGGTGAGGAAAGTTGACGTGCCATCCCTTCATTTATTCCGCACTACCATCATCACCACCATCCTCATCAACATCATCACTAAGTATCGTCTATCCGCCGCGTTGTTGTCATTATCACGATTTTCACCATTTTTGCTATCATGGTCACTGCTGCGAGTCTCGTCATTGCAGTTTCTACTACTACCATGAGCATCTCCACTGTCCTGCTCGGTTACAACAGGGACTGGAAGAAATTACTATTGTAGTTCCGGTGGGTTGGACGCTACGGCTTGCTACTTGTTAACAACAACTCAACTCGCGTAATATTGGGTTTACAATGTTGAACAAATCATTAATAGGGCATCTGACTTCGATCATCGAAACTTCAAAATGAAATCCTCCGGCCAGCAGCGGTCGAGTGCTCGCGCCTGCAGCACGACCGGGCCCGACTTGCGGGAACCCACCCATCGGAAGCCACGGCCGTCCAGGAGGACCCCTGAGCAGTACTCACAACGCCGTTGGCAAGCTGGGCCCGTTGTTGCTTGCCTGCTTCGGCAAAACCTAAACGTCGAACGAGCACTCACACTCACCTGTTACACTCGCGCAAGATACGACTGGTCCATCAAGCTACTTCAACTGTAGTGGTCGGCCCCGCGGCTGCGCATCGCATGACCCCCAAGTTCAGACGCCCTAGGCAGTAGATGCAACAAGGGCAATTATTGGAACCGTCCTGACTCATGACTGCTTGGAATGAAATTCATCAACAGTTACTAGGCACACAGGGCCGTGCAATGATCCAGCAAAGCCGACATGTTGGTTTCTTCAGTGCATCTCACCGCGCCGCAAGACAGACATGTGGTTTAAATGTGCTTGCTGACAACCGAGGGCGCACCCCAGCCTCGCCCGCGAACGCGCCGGTGCGAAACTGCAGTGTAGCCGAAATGGGGGCTCTTCCCGGACTCCAGTCGCCGCACCAGCTCCACCTCAGCACAAATCGTGAGTGATTCAATCCGTACCAAGGCCAGCATGTGGTAAGTGATACCTCATCGGCAGCCGAAGGCAAGCGGCGTAGCGGTCCTCGAACATGTTCAGTGCGAGTTCCTTGGGCAGCCGAGACTGGAATCGTAGAGGTTTGCGGAGTCCACTTAGACGCTGCCAGGGCTTCGAATCTTGGGTTCCCCCATGTTCCCCCTTCCCCGACCCTTTGCATCTCAGGCACTCCAGAAGGCTGCCCGATCTCTGGGAACGGCTGCCGCAAGCTGAAGAGCGGCAGCTCCTGAAGGCTTCAAGTGCTTCGCGATTCTTCGTGACAAGGCCGACGTCTCCTACGGCCCTGCGGGGCTTCTAGAAAAAAGCAAAAGGACAGAAAGCGCTTTCGGCCAAACATCGTTCTTCACCTTACGGCCGGGGCTTTTTTGGATTTCCCCAGCCTCCTCTTGGCCTCCTCCTAGAATCAAGAAAACACGTTTCCGGAGCCCGAGTCCAGAGCATTGCTTGGACCATCCCTCCCGACCATCCCTTCGACACTCCTTGATGCGAAGAGCACGTCGGGCAATGCGCGCCATGTTGCATTCTCTTTTTGCAAGACCGCCTTTTGCTCCAGGGGTTTGGATATCATGAGGACACGCACCATATGACGTCGGCCGTACTTCATATGCTTGGCCGCCATGCAGGCGGATTGCACGGTCTTCACAAGCTGCGGGTTGAAGCTGTTGAGGGGTTTGTCGCTTAGGGTCGTCATGTTCTGGAGTGGGCTCGAACAACATGGTGAATCCATGCTTTGTGGCTGTAACGAGCCCGCACGGTGCAAGGCTGCAAGAATCAAAGGGCTGAGGAAGTGCGCGCTGCCCAAGAAGGCTCAGAGGTTCGGCTGCAGTAACCGAGGCACAACTGGGCTTCTGAAACGTTCATGCTGCGGTTGCCTCTCGTTAGTTTCGCCTTCCGTGGCCTATCGTTTCTGGGCCCCGACATGGATGCGCTCCGGTGCGGAGGCCAAGCCAGCTCAAGAAGAAGACTCAGCTTTCAGGGTTCGGAGAAGATGCGTGGGATCCAAGCTTCCTTTGCGACCTTGCTTTTTGGGCCATGCCCGCACGAATCAGCCGCGTCTGGGTCCTGACAACGTCCAATGAATTAATGCCAGGATCTTGGTGGTGCACAAGAACCATGCAGCAGTCATGCTCGGCACGAGAAAACTGTGTGTGTGTGTGGGGAGATGAAGCAAAAGCGATTGTACACACGCTCATGGGCGTGCTGGAATTGCTTGCAATGCCACTTGCTGTGTGCTTGAAACCATGAGGTCTCCTTGCCGAGTACACGGGGCATCAGGTTTCGAACGGACACAGGATGGCTCTCGGAAATGGACCATTTGGGCCATTTTCTGCCGAGGCAAAAGCACCAACACCACGTGCAATCACCGCAGTGCGGTGACTCCGTCGGGCATTTCTCTCTTCGCATCCCTTTTGAAATCCGTTTTGCGCCTGCTATGGAGTGAAGACATGCAGTCGGGTTGCATGCGAAACCAGAAATGCCCAACAGCGTCAGCTTCCAAACGGACCTTCTATATGAAGGATTCCGGCTGAAGACGGATTGTCTTCCCCTTACATGAGAAGGCTCTGACTATTGAAGGTCCCTGCTAGCTGCTGGCCTTTGCCGGTTCCACACGGGCGAAGCTCAAGCCTTGGGCTGGCGCTTCGCCCAAACCTCGCCATCGTCCCAGAGTAAGGTCCCCAGGCTCGCAGAGATTTCCGCGGTGTAGACCCGGCCACCCAAACTGAGGCAGACCTCTGAGGATGGCACGACATCGGCTAAGACTCATGCTGGCTGCGTCTCAGCTTTACGCAAGAAGGCCCGAAGAAGCCCTGCCTCCCGGGTGCCCGTGATGGACAGCTCGGAGGGGTCCGAGCGAAACTCGTCCGCCCAGTGCACGAGGTTGGATTGGATGCTCGCCTCCAGGCAAGAGCTTCGCGAATCTTGGCCTGGCCTAACATCCCGGGCGCCCGTCAGGGCATGTGAGCTCTCAACTGGCTCTCCGGTCTCTTCTGGCGATACTGAAAAATATGAAATCCTAACGATCTTGAGAGTATGTAGATGCAGATCTCATGCCATTGGTAATCGGCACGCTGTTCAGGCACATGTTGCATGTATCCTCATACATCACTGTGTGCCGATCGACCTCGCGCAAGACTACGACTTTACGTTTCTTGATAAGCCATCCGAAAAATGAAAAGCAGGGTCGTGGCATCCCATCACCATCGAACTTTGGAAACAACAACACTCCTAGCATCCTTCAACTGCCCGCAGCTCAGGCAGATGCCATGTACTTCCCGTCTTGCTCCCGGACATACATGCCCTCCAACCTCATCGAAAGACTAGCAGATTGGCAAGTGGGCCATGAGGAGGCTAGGCATGCCTGGAGCAAATCTGTCCGATCACCCAAACCCTGACAGTGCATATGCTGCAACTCACCCCCAGTTGCACGGCTCTCCAAACACAGGCCAAGAGGTTCAGCAATGAGGAAGCAAGGAAGCAGCACTTCAATGGTCCTTCAAGGGCCAATTGAACGGTCCTTCAAGGGCCCGGCTGCTCCCAAAAAGTCACTTCACCGACAGCTGCACCGTTCACGGCACCGTCCATCTGCGTTCCTAAGACCTCGGGCCAAGACGTGCGATAAAACACGCCGACTACCGCCTCTGGCACTCAAACCCCAAATCGGCTAAGGCAATTCAGTCTGGAGCAAAGCCGGCAGCTGGGACTCGCATTTGCTGGGGAGCGCACCAAGGAGTCCTCAGCTGGGAACTCGCGGGGCGGCGAGGTCAGACTGGGAGAGGCGCTGGCCTTTCGGCCCTAGTTATAAAGTGGGTGTTATTAAGTAGGGTAACTATAGCTGCAACCCATATTCGGGGATTTATAACCCTACTTCTCTAGCCCTAGGTGCCCTTTCCACTCATGCAGCCAAGGGTCTGCCGTCGATGCGATGCCGCCGGGCGTCAGCGAGGACACGGGCACGAGCCTGCATAAAAGCGCGGCCGGGCAGGAAACCGACGGGACTCCATCAGAACACGACCCACTCTTGCAGCCACACGCCGGCAAACCACCCACTTCCTCACAAAGTAAACGCGAGGTACCGACTCCAACCCTCCAAATCCGCTCGTGGCTACGTAGGCTGCCACTGCTGCGGCCGAGCATCCTCTCTTCATCCGTCTTCTCGCAGCAGCATGCCGTCTGCCCCATTGCGGGCAGCAGCAATTCAGGCCACTGGACAAACTTGTCTGACATTCCTTCGGCTCCTTCTGTCTTCTGTCTTTGCAAAAGTCCCACGTAGCTTGCATAGGACCAAAGCGTGTTGCAAAGTTGCCCCGCCCTTGTTCCGATCCTCGTCGCTATGGACTGTGGACAGCTGCGAAAACTGGCAAGCATCCTAAGGCCATCTGCTTCGCGAAACCAAACAATCATCTACTGGGTCGCGGTGTGCATCACCTACTTCACGATCCGCTTTTGACCGTCGGATTCTCGCAGACAGACTCTGCCCCGCCCGCACGATAGTCACCTGGGCTGGCCGAGGTTCCGCTGTCTGTGAATCTTCTTCGGTCTGATGCTCCCACGCGTGAGCATGAGTGCGTCCCGGTCTCCAGCGATGATCGCCCCGAAAACATGCAACAACAAACAGACCTTGCCTGAAATCGAGCCGAGCCCGCCTTTCCTAAGCCAGCCTGACCTAATCGGCCCCACCTCGCTCAATCCAACCCAAGCCTTTTTTTTGTCACAGAGTCCGATCATAGCCGACCCCACCCTCCCATTCTCCGTCACGCTCAAGTCAAGGCACAGAACACCTGCAATCGCAGCTGCGGCAAAAGCTGCAAGAGCTGGCGCATAGACCGCACCTGGCTCGCAAGCGAAACTTTACACACTGATTAATCTGGTGATGCAACTGCAAAGCACTGCTGACAGCGAAATCAACTGAATCTTACACCTGTCCTAAGTTTGCCACTGCCCTCGTCACTGTCCAATCATACGAAGCCGCACGCAAGTAAACTTCAAGAGACCGAAAGCGTTTCTAAGCTGGCTAGCCTTTCAATCCAGATCGTGCAAGATGCGCGTGAACGTCCCAGAACCAATCCAAAAGACTCATAAATATCCAGGCATTTTCCCGTAGTCCCGGCTTTGCTTGGCACATAGACACTGGATGTACTTGCTGCTGCGCAGGGCAACCCTGAACACTTCCCGAAAAGCTCGCAGGAAATCTGGTTTTTGGAAGGCAGCGCTTTCAGGTCGACCCTAGCCATCGGGCAGACTGCTCTCACTACCCGGAGGATACAAGGAAGAGCCAATGCGTTATTCAGGCAGGATGCGGCACATCTGTGAAATGCTCCGAACCGCAATCAGGATCAGGGTTTCCATTGTCTGCAAGACTGGTGGAAGGGGCTTTTCTATGCTCTGTCCTCTGCACGGGGCACGCAGGAGAGGCACGACGAGCCGGAGGTCCAAAGAAGTACGTCACCAGACCTCGTCCGCACTTTGGCTTACAGGATCATTCAGGTGGCTGGGCGGAGCTGCTTCCAAGTAGGGGGCGCGATCCGCTCTAAATCTCGGTACGTTGAGGGTGTGACGCTGGGGCTAACTCCCAGTTTGTGGGAGTTGGTGTTGGGGGGGGGGGGGGCGTCTGATGTTCAGGAGCTTGCGAAAACGTGGGCTGCCACACCTTGCTCGCTGTCTACTTGCTTCAGGCATGCACTTGTACAGGCTCCAGACTGCCTTTTCAAAACATGCACAGCCTTCAGCCGCCTTGCCAGCTGAGGGGACGGCACTCTCTCGAACTCGGCCTGGCAACTCCCCAAGCAGACTCTCAGAGCAACTCGGGGCCTGCACACTGGCCGTCAGCTGACTTAGCATCTTGCGTTTTGAGCTCGAGGATGCTATTGACAATGCTCACAGCCTCATGCCTTCCATCGGCGCCTAAAAGCTTGCGGAAGTTTGCCGGCTGTCGGACCTGCTTCACGCCGGCGTCGTCCAGGAGGTCGCAGATGTGCGACAGGGCTTGGAACTCTGCACACAAACTCCTGGCAATGCTGACTGAACCTCCGCTGGGAGCCCCTGATTGCACCAAACCCCACGCCCCCTTGGAACCAGCCATCCTGTCAACCACCTCGCTGATGGGCAGCGCCCAAGGTCGCAGCAAGCCAGACCTGCCTGAAGGCACCATCTGCAGCACGAAAACTACTCCTCAACCTTGCCTTATCAGTGATACCATGTGCTACACGTGCTCTGGATAATCTTCAAGGGAGCAGCCTCCCGCAGGTCAATGTACCTACCGAAACACCGCGATTTCTCGTCGCACTCAAGGAGGAGGAGTGGCAGACCGGCAAGAAGCACTATGGCTTCAGCTTGAGGCAGCTACTTCCAAACTTGTGCCGGTGGAAAGCTCGGAAAGGCTCCAGCCTGCGCGAGTACCAGCTCCAAGGAAGCTGTTCTCCTGCCACTGCAAGATGCACACAAGACTTCGTCTGGCTGTGCGAGGGCTTTTGGGCTGCATGCCCAGGTTCCAATGCTCCCGAACAAGAATAGAGCCGGCAGGGACTTACGAGCCAACGTCGGGAGATCAACGAATAAGGTCAGTAGGTCTCATGAGGAATCAGAAGAAGAGACCTTGTGCCTGCAAAGAACTTCAAACAACATGAACACTTAAAGGCGTACGTCTAAGTACCTGCCAAACCATGGACAGACAAGCATAAAACTCAGCTGCGCGAGACACACGTTGTTTCAAGGAGTGTCTAGGACGGTTGTCGTTTCCTAAGCAGGACGCTGTTTCATCAAGCTGAACTTAAGAGTTTTTTTTGACGCCCACACTCGCACAAGAAAGTATTTGGAGAAGGGTGATAATGATAAGCTTCCAGATGCACTTCTGCATTTGTGGGTGCGAAGCATGAATCTACACGAGTAATTCTGTAGCTATTCGACATTCGGCAAACTGCTGCAAGTGCCAGCCTGGTTGCATTTCCTTGTCGATGCTGCACTCTTATACGGTCAGGCGATGTCAAGGACCTACCCCGCTAAACAAAAACGCCAAAACCTTCAAATAACCGCGCTCTGTGCCCTATAAACCTTTTTGTTCTTGGCATGTGCAACATCCAATGGACTGTCACCGAACCTTCTGCCCCCATGCACATCCTGAAGCCCAAATCCGTGACCCTCACGCCCGGACCTTCGTGAGACTTCCCGACAACAGCGCCGCTGCCGGTTTGGACAAACGTGGATGATGCAGGTTGAACTCCAAAAAACCTGAGTTAACAGAGTTCGTGAATCGACGAATGTTACAATCAACCGTACAGTGTTACAAGCGCTTACTTACGTCCTGAGACTATCCTGAGCATTGAACTTCGTCGCCTCCACGATGGGTCCCAACGCCAAACTGGTTTTTGCATCGGACTTGCCCGGAAATCCTACACCCCGAACCACGGATCTCGAACGCACCTAACGAAGCCGACGTAGCCGCCAAGCCAGCAATTCCATCCTTTATTCCTACATCCGAAGCCCCAACCCCCAAGCATCCCTTTTTGGACTCGATTCGGGATTGGTCAGGAAGTCAGGGAAAACTGACAACAAGGAAACATTCCTCCGAAGCCCTCCCACCACATGTTCCCCTCCCCTGACTGATCGTCAAAAACATTAGTTCGCAGTTGGGAGCGGTCCGATTCACTCCAAAGCAGACTAGATTTCGGATCTGCGGCGGCCGTGCCTAACTCATTCCTGCCGAGACTACTCTTCACCTGCAGCCGGGCCGAGGACGAAGACACGAATCGAATGAATTTGGCATATCAAGACTTAGAAGTTAACCACTCTGATGCGCGCGATCCGTTGGACAATGGCTTGCTTGTGGCGGCTGCGGCTGTTGATGCTTGTTTGCCCTTGCTGCTTCGATTTTCTTGGATTTGAAGTCGGAGATGCATGGTCGGAGAACTGAAGCATGTTTTCTGGGTTACCGGTTTGGAAACGGGCCTTCACATTGTTTGAACCAGCTGCCGAGAGGCAGAAGACCCGTTCCTTCACGAAGAACCGCTCACGCCTCCAGTCATCAGTTCTGGACTTCGCAATGGCCAAGACTGCTTCCTCAGGAGGGTGCATGCTTCCAGTCCAAGGGTGCAAGTATCAGTGAGATGAACTTTCTACTCCGACGCAGACTCGCCAGCTGAAAAGGATCCAGATGCGGCGTTCAGGGATGCCGGTGCGAGTAAGAGGGACTAGGCACTCACTCTCGGACTGGCGAGGCGAGGTTTCGGAAGGCTTAAACGGTTGTGTTTCACAGCTCCTCTCTGCTTGTTTAGCTCTAGCCTTAGCAGCCTTAGCATTGTCGAAGACTGGAATGGGGAAAGCATTCGCCCCTCGCGACAGAATGGTATTCGCATGTCCGGCATGGGTTGGAAAGTCAAAAACCACAGGATGACGGGGCAAGGTCCAAAGCTCTGCAATGACTACATTAGTTGATCCTAGCATCGAGTGGATGGCCCCTTCCCACAAAAATATGCCAAAGCCTCCTGCGCCTAAAACTCGAACTTAATCGTCTTTGATGTCAGCTTCGGGGCGGTGACTCCTGTCGCATTGCGAATTGTCGTACAGCATCTTCAGCTGTAGCATTGTACATGCCGCCGGGCGGCGGAGCACCGGCACATTCCGTATTCGCCTGTGAGTTCACGCTCCGGAGCTTCTTGGAGCTGACCGCACTGACCGCCCCAGGGCTAGGGTTCTGATCCGGCTGCCTGCTCCGGCTGCTCCGAATCCGCTCTTTGCAGCAAATCCATGGCTGCCAAAGACTCGGTTCCCGACACACCCGCCGAGAAGAGGCTGATCTTCAGTGCGACTTGGGGCCACTTCTTGATCAGATCGGCGTAGGAAGGCGTCGTGAGCACTTGGCTCATGTGGTCCTTGATGAAGGAGAGACACGCCGTCTCGAGCTGCTTCGCCTGCAGAAGATGCGCTTGGCAGAGGATGCCACAAACCTGCGACTTGTCGATTTGCTCTGAAAGCCTCGCCTCACACCACAGCTGCAGTCGTTTCACTTGATACTTGTCACTCACGGCCAAAAGTGCTTGAATCTGACCCAGCTGCGGGCCGGAATCGCTTGATGTCCCCTTCAAAAGGAGCGCTTGGGCATCCGGCAGCCGATCCGTGTAAAGGAAGTGCAGAAAAGCCTTAAACGTAGCGACATCGCAGTCCTGGATCACGATGACTTTCGACAAGCTTTCCTGCATGCCTGCCGTCAGCTGCTTGCTGAACACCTCGGACCGCGCACAGAGAACCTGCGAGTGGGCGTGGATCACTTCGTCCTGCACTAAGAACTGCACGTCGCTGCACTTGCCTTCCTCCAACAGCGCCTGCGTGTCTTGACTGATGGTTGGCTCAGGGACATCTGCTGGGAGACTCAAGCGCTGAGCTTTGGGGGGTTCGTCAGGGCGGACATCGAGCTCGAACTTTACCGTGAGAGTGTCGTCTTGCACCCACTTGGAGTGCAAGAGCTCATCATAGCTCAACCCGAAGATGCCTAGAGACGCTGGGGGATCACCCGGCCAATGCACATCGGGGCCGTAAGCGCAACAGTGCGGCCAGTGGTCGTAGGATCCATCGTGGACGGCATCGCCCGTCTCGCCCCATTGCACATACTCGGCATTCTGTGCCCTGATGTAGATGCGATACCGAATGGCAACGCACGCCTTGGTGTTCAGCACGATGGCGAGAGACCCATGATGCTGATGACACAGGCAGTGTGCCCACGGGCTGTAACGAAATTGGAACGCCTCGTTGCCAACTTTGAAGCCCATGGAGTCGACAGTATCGTTGTCCTCTTGATTCAGCATGCTCTTCAACCAAGAGAAGCCTGTGATTCTCCAGACATACTCGCCCCTGGCGACCATCTCTGCACAGCTCGTGCTGTTTCCGCCACTTGCTCTCATGACAGGTTGCCCGCTGTCTCGGCCACCTGCAAGCCGACCACCGGTATGCCATGCGCTCAGAACCCGGTCTTCGTCAAACAGCCGTCGAAGCTCAGCTGCACTCTCATTTTCTGACTGCTCCTGTGCCAGAACCTGCCTCATCTCCTCCAGCTCTAGGCGCAGCCTCTGCCGCTCTGTGGCCCGAGTGATCTCGGCATCGAGCTCCTGGCGTCTAGCCCTCTCTGCTTCCACCTGGCGGCGCGTCGCCTCGATCTCGGCACGCAGCTCTTCGGCCGACATTGCTTCCATGGCGAAGGGCGAAAGGAGGACCTCACCGCCCGGAGATGAAGCGGCTGCGGCGTCGAGGCATGCTCCTATTGCTGACTTTCTGGAGAGCCAATATCATCCCGGAATCTGGGATTTTCAAAGGTCACCCTGACCCGGAATTCCCCAACCTCCAATTCGCGGTCACAAGGTGATTCGTTGTAAAAAGCACTAAAAGAGTTAGGCGAAGCGGGGCCATGTCTGCGCTTCGAAGCACCAACCATGACAATGAGATCCAAACCCTCGCAGATCGCCTCTCCCGCAGTATGCCCCACGAAAGGCCTCGACCGAACCCGGGCCATCAGATCCCAAAGCGAGAAGAACCGGGCTCCTCTGAAGAGCAAAATGGGAGCAGAGCTGCCCTGGCCCTCCGGACGAACTCCGCGTGCTCGCCCGGTCGATGCACCCCGAGCTTGCCTCTGCTCTACATTGGGACGGCTAACAGCACTCAACCCGAAAGCTGCCCCAGTTCCAACCTAGAGTCCTAGAGAAGCGTCTTTCGGCTACAGGCAAATGCGGGACTGGGCTGTTGGGGTCGGTCTAATCGGTCTGTCGATACACCTTACCTCGACCGAAGTGATGTCGCGATTTTGTCACACAAGTCACAAGCCATAGAGCACGGGTGCCCCGATGCTGCCTTCTTCTTTGCCAAGCAGCTGAGAAGCCACTTGGTGCCGATGATGCCGAAGTTGTCCTGAACTGCAAACGGTCAGCTCTGTTCCGCCGAAGGCCTGTTTCGGGATCTCCACGCCGGCAGATACCGAACTCAGAGCCTCCAAACGAGCACGGCTGCAGACAGAAGGCTCACGCCAGCCAAACCTTACCGGCATTTAACCGAACCCTGTTAGAAGGGGCCGCCGAGCTTCGATCTGCCATGCGCGGAGCAGGGCGTTCCTGGGCCGAGTTTCAATTCAACCCGGTGGCCTTCAGCAACGCATACGGCGACAAGCAAAATCGATCTACATGAACTCGAAACGACCCTTTTTTCTTTATTTATTATTGTTACTATTAATTATAATAAGAATAATTTTTATTATTATTCTTATACTAATAATTCATTCCCCAGACAAGAGGCGAGCCAGAGAAAGCATCCTCGTGAAGCCAAGCCGCGGCGAAGGTATCGATCTGCAAAGGATCAGAAAGCGGGGGCTCAGAGCGGGGCATTCATGGCTCGAAGGTTTCGGGAGGGCACTTCAGTTCTTGCCGCTTATTATGTGCAAGGCCGCCCGGGGGTCAGCTTTCGCCCGGCACCGACCCGCAGACAAGCCTTAGCCCGGAGGGCTCCTGGGTTTAGGACTTGCCTCTCGCACGCCGACTAAGCCTTAAGCTCGAAGTGCAAGAAGTAGCTCTTATATTATATTCTATTATATTCTACTATATTATACTTATACTATATTATACTATATTATAGTATATTATACTATATTATGTTAGAATCTTCTTGCAGAGCTGAGGCCTTCTCAGCCAGCAGGCTTTCCAGGACCTCGCAGCCCGGGAGCTCCAGATCCACCAGCGAGGCCAGAGGCTGAGAGTCGAAGGCGGCCATCTTGGAGCCTGAGGGCTCCGAGGGGTTTTGAGAGGTTTCGGCTCTTAGTCGACTTTGCAACAGCATCCGAAGTCAGCATGTGGGTCCCGAGTGTGTACCCCTCTATGCTGGCAAGGCCTTGCCCTCTGCGGTTCCTAAGGCCTTTCGCCTGAATTGAGAACTTGCTCAGACTGGGTACCCTGCTGCGCATGCAGGAAGATGGAAATCTAGATCAGACGATCAGACAGTACAGTATAAACACAGCCGTCTTTTTTGCAAGAGCTTGGGGGGCTCTTGCCGAGTTCAGGTAGCCAGGGACACTACCGTTTCTGCAGGCACGCATTCGTCACCCCCTTGGGCATGGGCTGTCAGTGTCAGGCGCCTTTCATCTCAAGGTCTCCAATCCCGTAGTTCTATCACCCAGTCTGCACATGTCTTCCTGCTTTCTTGGTGGGTCTTGTCATCCCAGCTGCATGCTGCTGATGCTGTCGCTGCAACCGCCGCAGCATTCCTGCGGAGAAACATCTGCCAGAAAAGCCCTCGACCTTCGAAAACACCTACAAGTAGACGTGACTTGACACCTCACCATCTATGCTCAACAAACAAACTCGCTTGCGATACCACGCTAGCTCGCGGGAAAAGCCACGTGCATCCTCGCAGACCTGAACCGAGTCCTAAACTGCTCCACCATGCTCCACCCTGACCCCCTTGAGCCCTGAAGCAATTAATTATGCCACGGTCCAAGGCTGCAAAGATGAGAATGCCCAGGACATATTGGCTGTATCCAGGGGCTCCTGGGCTGTCGCGGAGGGTGGAGGGTGCGTGCATTTGAGACCAGGCTTGGGGTTTGGAACCTACACAAGCGCACCAAAAACATCGCAACATGTGACACAGGCCGCGCAGGCATTACTCAACGCGCAGGAAGAGAATCCAAATTGATTCAAATCGGCAATTTCCGCAGGATCGCATAGCTCACCGACGACGTTTTTTGGCCTTTAACAGATTCTAACTACACCACATCGGTCTGAAAAGTGCAAGCCGAGGCCAGGCTTGACACGCTCCGTGTGTCGATTTAATGTACGGTTCGTTTCGGCATGAGTTCGCCCGATGTGCACTTGTGACTGGTATAGTCTGTGTAGATGCAGCTTTTGGCACGCGTGCCAGTCCATGTTTGACCTGCTTATCACACTTCATGATCAGTGTGCTCTCTTCCTGCAATGCCGGTCGAACCGCAAAAACGGAAAACTTAAGTGTCCTAACGGTCTGCGCACTCACGGATGCAAAGAGCCTCTTCCATAAATGGGGAACCCTCTTTCAGCCCTGAAACGAACGTTAGGTGAACCACCCCACGGCCTCGTCTCATCCAAAGGCGTTAACCGGATCTGTTGTCCAAACTCGCGGTTTGTTGCAAGCCGACAACTCATTCCAGTTCTGGGTGACTTCTGTCTCTCTGTCTCTGTCTGTCTGTCTGTCTGTCTGTCTGCCTGCCTGCCTGCCTGCCTGCCTGCCTGCCTGCCTGCCTGCCTGCCGTCGCACTTGCTTGCTTGCTTGCTTGCTTGAAGCCCCGCGACCGGAAAAAAAATACCAAAATAAATGGAAAAATATCGAAAAAATAGCGCCGCCGTGACCTCACTCGCCTCGCGGCCTCGCGCACCTCGCGGC